GAACATGCTGGGTATTGTGGTGAGAGAACATTGATGAGAACATAAAATGACAGGCCTGTCATGATCATGAAATTTTAGCTTACAGTTAATTTTATAGAAAAAATATGAATACTGATTTAATTGTCTATTTTTATGCAACTAATAAAGTACTCAAGGAGCTAAATTGGACTATTTTTTTTGCTTCTTTGCTGTTTACTTTGCAGCTAACAAGAGATGATACACACTGTGTTGTGCGTAACAAGTGTCTTCAGTTACATTAAAGAAACAAAGCTTAAATTTTTCATCTGAGACTGAAAAAATGTGTGAAAACACTTGTTCTGCAAGCATACATGCTAAAGTTTGCATTAGTACAGAGCCCTGCTGGTAACATCCTTATAAATAAAAATAATGCGCCGTATTAACGTATGAGAACAAGATCCTAATGCGTGGCCATGACTTGAGAGAATGAGATAATTAAATCGTGGTCATGACTTAGTAAGGTAACGAGATCATGCCTTACTAAGTCATGGCCACACATTAGGATCTTGATCCCACACCTTACTAAGTCATGGCCACTACTTAATCATAATGTTCCCACGCCTTACTAAGTTGCAGCCATGCATTATTTTTATTCATACAGGATGCCACCAGTGGGGCTCTGTACATTAGTTATAGTCCTAGCTATCGATTTAAAGAACAGTCCAGCTAAACCTGTTACAGCACACAGTCAAAGTAAGAACTTTAATTTAGTAGAAATTAGAAAAAAAATGTATTTATTCATTTATTTATGTTTATTTCGCTCAAGCCAACTTTTCTAGCTCACATTATGCTTGTTGTGGTAGAATATGATGAATAGTGAAGTCTAATGACTGTGGAAAATAACTGTTGTCAGGTTAAATAATTGTGATTATCTCAAATAATTGCAGTCAGGCGAATATGTAATAATTGTGACAGACCTAACAATATTAATTTGTGAATTCTGACCAACAGATGAGGCTTAGGGATATAAGGCTGAACTACAGGATACTGCATAACATGACAGGAACAGAAAACTTGTTAACTTAAATAAAATCTGAAGCACCAGCCCACTGACTTCTGTTCTAACTGTATTTCAAGTGATCAGGTCTTCTGTGCATTTTCTAAATGCAGAGAAATTACTGTCAAAGATATTTGATGCTATGCTACAGATGCTGTGGGTTGAGGTTAAGCTGCAAATGCTGGAATATTCCTTTAATTCTGTTCTTTCTCACTAAATATTTGCTCCGTAAGGGTAGGTTCCTGATTTATGCAGCTGTTGTGTGAGCTGCGTTAGTTGAACATTTGGAGGGAAAACGGGCAGTGGGGTGCTGTGGAAGGCCACGGCTGTGCTGCCCTCCCCACTTCACCCCTAACCAGCGCGAACCCTGCCCAATTAATGGACAAGTGCATTCCGCCTGCCTGGAGACCAGCTAACCCTTTTTACACAGCCGCTTTTCAGAGTGACAGCCGCATTTGAATAAGAATCGCTGTCCATTCACCCTATTGCTGCAGTGACATGAGGAGAGGGAGGGGGAAGAGGCCTTCAGTCATTCTGATTGGTCAGCAGTGTCCAGTCTGTTTTTACACCTCAAAAGCCTGTTGTGCTTGCAAAGTTTTCTTCCCCCTTTACCGTTATCTGCACACACACACACATTTTTATACACACCCACTGACTCTCTCTCTCTCTCTCTGTCCCTTGCCCCTACACAAACACACACACACACATACAGAAAGTGAAATGCACAGAGAGAGAGAGAGGGTCTGTACAGAGGGAGTTTGTCACATCGTGTGCTTGCGTGAGTATGATAACTTTTCTCAGTCTGATGCTTTTGATATCCAGCCAGAGGCCTTCTGCTGCTTCTGATAGACTACACCCACACACAGACTCAGTTCAGTGATGGAGGCTCACAGTCCTCCATCTCCATACAGACTCTGTACTGATTCTTATAGCTGATTTCTCCCTAAATCGCTCTCTCTAATCTCTTCTTTGGCCTCTGCTTTGATGTATAGCGAAACTGTGGGATGACATGTTGTCTTTCTGTTATCTTTGCTAGACATTCCATCATGTTTCATTTGAATTGCATCAGTATATACTAACAAAGTCATTCTTATTTAGTTGAAATAATTTTTTTTTGATTTGTGGCAATTCACACTGACAAATTGATTTTTACCTAATTCAAATTCAAATGAAAAATTCTGTCAACTTTACTAGAAACTCCATAAATTTAATCTGATATGGGTCAATGTACAGTGAACAAAGTGATGTTTATCTAAATCAATTAAAAATTGTCAAGATTTCAAAATATACTGAAAAAAAGGTTATGTTCAGTTGGTTTGAATCCATTAATATAATTCTGTCTGTTGGTTTACTGAATTTGGCAATAATTGTGTTGATGTAATATGTTTTCTTCTTGTGGAAATTGATTCATTTAGTGTTTTCCATGTACAGTGCAGGACTTCTTGGGAATTTTTCAGCTCTAGAGCACTCTTGATCTGTATGGTGGAGCATTTTGTCCCCAGTATGAGGTGCTGACAGACGTCACTAATTATGAACAAATCTTTTGAACAGTTAAGCATCATTGTTGGTAATTTTATTTTGTCTTCTTATGAACTGTTAATTTTCTGAGAACTACTGTTAACATAAGAGAAAACACCCTTCATTGTAAGGAATCAGCCTAATGAGTATGTTGATTCCTTAACCTTACTAGCGTAACTATTATAATCAAAATTGCCTAATTATATATTCCATTACATAGTGTCTCATAATTATGTACATTCCGTGTTATCAAAAGTGAAAAACTCACACTTCCAACTTAATTCATCTGCTTGTTTCAGTGAGTTGTGCCTGAGAACTTATTCATATTGAATTACACCATGCTTTTGTTATTGTCAATGATGATTACATCTTGTGAGAGTTCAGGTTCAGGCTTATTATTCAGTTATTAACTTTATGGCTTATTATTCAGTAGATACTGTAAAACTAATGTGTGAGTTTAATGGTTCTGAGAGTGAGAAATTGAAGTGTAGGTCCACATACAGGCCCTTGAGGTTAATAAGATGAGTTAGCTGGACTGAACAGTGGTGTGTGTGTGTGTGTGTGTGTGTGTGTGTGTGTGTTTTTGTGTGTGTGTGAATGTATGGCTGTGGTATTGTGTAGAGGAGTGGCTCTTGTCAGTGTGGCAGATTCTCTACAGCATGATGAAGAGTCTGAAAGCCAGAAGCTCAGCCTGTCACTGTACGACCTCACACACAGCAAGACCACACTAATACTCCTGCATGTTATTTATCATTATCAGATTACTGTAACAAACAGTGTTCATGTATACACACAGAATGACAGTGGTAATTATGCAATTATCGTTATGTCTGAGTAGACTGTTCTTTAAGTGTTAGCATACAGTCAATGACAGTTTACAGTACTTACTGTTGAAGAAGCTGCTCTAGATTCATATATATATTCAGAGCTTTACTAAATATGAGATAATACTCTATCACTTTAACATGTATGGGCAGGTTAAGCAGCTTTTGCTGAATGGATGGTCATATGTAAATGTATTCATGGTTGTGACATCATATATGGAACCATTTTTGCAGCTGTTTATAGTACTAACTATGAGAGCCTGACTATTTAAGTAATGTTGCTGTGAGAGAGAGAGAAATAAAGCTTTGGACCACAACTCTTATTAACTTTTCATTGCACCATAGAAAATGTGCTCACTGGCTGTATTACAGTGTGGTTTGGCCGCATACGACATTAAGTTATTAGAGAAAACTGTAAGGACAGCAGGACAAATGACTGGGACAGAGTTACCAAAACATGGCGTTATTCATTCCACCTGTTGCATATAGGAAGCCCAGAATATTATTAATAATTGCAGCCATCCTGCTCATTTTTTACTTCTTGCATCTGAATAGTGCTGCTGCAGCATTAGATCCCATACCACCAGTAAGAGTTTTTTTCCTCAGGCAGTCAGGATGCTGAATAATTGATGTCCCTCATGTATGCTGAATGTAGTGAATTGATGTGATTGTTCATTTATATCTGCGATATTGTTATACTGTTATGAGAGCGAATGCCGCATGAACTTAAACTATTTAACTTTAAGTACTGTTAAATACTTATAACATTTCAGTGTGGTTTGGAGAAAGTTACTGCTAATGACAGATACAGCAGTGAGGACTTTTGCTTTATCTGGGAGCTGTAAGGGGCGCTCCACTGATTTTTCAAAACTTAACTCAATAATTCAGTGGCTAATATGTAAACAAAGTCATTCAGAGTGGTTTGATGTGAGATGCTCTGTTCTAGAGAAACTCACTGAGTCAGAAATGTTTTGTCTCATTTGATCATTTATTGACAGTGATGGTGATAGGAACCAGACTTCTGAAGAATTGAATTCCTATTCACAAAAGTAATTACATGAAATGGTTATGAATGTGTTGCCAGATGCCTGAGACATTGTTTTATGATAGTTTTGAGATGTGATTTTGAACTGAAAGGTATTTTAAAAAAGCTATTTTTGGTGCAGGTATACATGCAGGGTGTTGTAAGGCAAAATATTCCTCAAAGAAAACATATTAGTTGTTCAGATTAAGCACTATTTCACCAAGATCATCATTACATATAAAAACTCAGATAGCACATTGAGATACATTTGTGTTGTAAATATTATGACCCCTGGTTTCTAACACCACCACTGTAAATAAATCTGATTTGGTAAGTTTCTCTACAGTGATCTCACTTGAAATTACTCTGAATGACTTTGTTTACGTTTGAATGAACTATGCAGAAACTTTGAAAAGTTGGTGAAATTCTCCTTTGATTTTATTATATTAATAGTCTGACTCAGAGTCGTTGTTGTTGTTTTTGCTCATTTAGGCCAAGTACTAAATGCAGGGGAATTTTAGTGAGTGCTAGAATTCAAAGGTTTTAACATACTCTAGAGTTCATATTACCAGTGTTAACATTTCCGAGTCTAAGCTTAGCTTTTTTTTTTGTATTTCAGGCCTCTGGATATCCATCTTCTCTGGTTGAATGATGACGGCCAGATGTCTGGGTCTCCTCTTCCTGGGTAAGTTGTAGATTTATCATATGCACAATGCTGCTTTCTCCACTTCTCAACAGAAGCTGAACCCACAGCTTTCTTAAAGAGGGCTGTGATTACAGATGACAAACACAGACAATCCTTCAACGACTTTCCAGAATATGACTCTCCAGTGAACTGAGGAGAACGTAAGCCGCTTATGAAAAGAAAAGGATCAAACACGCCGAGACCTATCCCCCCACCCCCTCCCCCCCACACGCCCACCCGGATCACCTTGACTGTCTGTCCCATGAGAGCCGTTTTCCGACACAAAACAGCCGGTTAACTGATGTAAACATGACCTGCGTCTCACTTCTGCTCCCTTTAACACAGTCTGCTCGCCTTTAGCTCCCGCCACAAAGGCCGCATGTTCTCCTCTGAAGAGCAATCAAGAGAATTGTGCCAGGCCGCTCTCGCTCTTTGTGATTTCTGATGAAAAGGTGTGTGCAGCGCAGAGGGGGACCTGGGAGTCACCCAGAAGCCAAATGCATTGCTCAGTGCAAACATATGCTCTCAGTGTTTGTATGACCTTGAGTCAATAGGCATTACTATGGCAACTGCTGAAACATTTCCTCATAAGTGTGTGTTTAGGAGGTTTCTGAACAGAAGAGCATAACTTTGTGAGATTATGTCCATTAGAGAACTTTCTGGCATTACTTGCAATTACCTGTTTTTATGGCTTCAATGCACTTGGTTAGAAAGGGCTCTACATTTTCTGTCCTTTTATGCCAATTTTTCAACCTCCTACCATTTTCAAACCTTTAAAATTAAACAGAACTATGTCTTTTAAACGGTGATGTAAGTGACCTCTGTTCTGATTGCCTGGCCTTTACAAGTGCTCTGTATTGTGCCTTGTTCAAAAAGCAGCCTGGGCTGAATGTACGGAGCAGATTGTTAAGTTGGATATTGAATTTTCAGGGATGTCTTTAGCCACTTTTTTTGATGTGTGGACGCTTTGGAAGGCTGCAGTGATGCAATCGCATCCTGACAGCCTGCACACCGTTTATACACTCCACCCCATGTCTTCCACTCTGATTACTTTGCTACAGCTGTTTTCAATACTCTGTATCACTGTAACATGTATGGGTGGGCTAATCAGCTTTCACACAATGGATGGTCATATGTAAATGCGTTGTGACAAAGTTATGACATCATATACGGGACCATTTTTGCAGCTCTATTCTATGTTTTTATGGCACATCAAACTCTTTTTATTTCATGATATGGACCGTTTAATCGTTTAATGTTTTTAATGCATATGTATCACAAAAGTTAATAGCATTTGTCCATTTAAGCACCACTAAAAACTATTTATTTATTTTCCAGCATCATGGAAAGAAGCAGAAAAAGTAGAAGAGCAGAACAGAACAGAGAAACCTCAACAACTAAATGTAATATGAATTATTTGAGTATTTAGTGTGTCAACTCTTTGCCTTTATTGCAGCTTTAGTTCTTTTCAGGAGACTTACTTTCAGTTTTCTAAATAAATCTGCAGAGATATTTTTCTACATTTCAGTTCAGTCTTAGAAGTTAGTTGCATTTTCGGCTTCTTACACAATCCAAGTAATCCCAGACACATTAAGTGATTCTGAGGTCTGGACTCTGGGGTGGTCACTACATTGTTCTGAGAACACCAGCAGTTGTCTGTTTTCTTGTCTTAGTAACAGCTTCTTGACAGCGACACATCCTTTCAGACTAATGTCGTTGAGTTGTCTTCTCACAGTGGAAGGAAGCAAAGAAACATCTGTGGATTTTTTCAGACCTGAAGCAAGAGTGGGGGCTGATCTGTTAAAGATGAAAGATTCTGTGTGTCTGATGGTGACAGTTCTGGTGGTCTATCAGGTTTATCACAGTTGTTAGAAGTCTCATTTTCTCTATATCTTTTTATCGTTTTTTGAACATCAGGTTTGAAAGCTCCTGTTTTTTTTTATGTGTAATCCAATCCAATCAGAAATATCTCCTAAAAGTTGAATAACCTATGGATGTTTTGACTGCAGATTTAGTAAATGAAGGGTGGTTTCTGACTTTTCGTTTTTGTCATAAATGTTTACAGTACAAAATGTTTCTTTCTTCTTATCGAGTCTGATGATGTAGTTCGGTTCCCTTTTTCTCTATGCTGTTCACACTCTGGCTGTTTAACCTGGGCCTCAGCCTCCCACTCTCACAACACCACAGTGTTAATCTCTTATTTCCCAAACAGAGCAGGAGCATGCAGAGTCCACTCTCAGCAGGGCAGCTGGGATTATTTCAGTCACTCTGACCTCTGAGCCCACAGTGGAGAAAGGGCTCGCTTTGTTTAGAGGTGTGTACTTTTACTAGTTTGAAGCAACATAGATGAAAAGAAAGAGCAGCGTTTTATTTAGCAAAAGAGCGCAGAGGGGGCGATATGAGGGGTAAATAGGGAAAGAGGTTTACGAGCATCCTGTGGTTCATATTAGAGTGAATAAATCAGTGGTCAGTGTGCTCAGTATGATAATAAATCAGTGGTCAGTGTCCTCGGTATAATAATTGTGACGATGCAACAGAATTCAGACGCTCGCGGATAAAAAATGTACACAGGGCTTTATTCAAGTTCGACAAAGAAGTGGTCAAAAAACATGCGTGGGCCGTAACCAGAAAGCAGCAAAATATCACCGAAGTGATCATAACCAAAAGCAAACAAAACCAAGGGAGTCATCCGATATCGTTGTCAAAAACCAGGCCAAAAAGTCAAAACACAGATCCAAAAACAGTCAGCAAAAGTACAAAAAGGGACAGGCAAAAATCAAGTTCAGTGAAACAAAACGTAGGTCATAACAGGCAGTTGCAAACAGATAATAGATACGCTCAGCAAGTTCAAGAAGAAACAATACCTCGCAACGACTAAGACTAAAGCCCGGGTTTATAAACTATACTAGGTGAGTCATATGACAATAAACACAGGTATATTTATTTAGTACTCCGGTGAATGTGAGCGCTGATAGGTGCGTGCACAACCATCCAAAGTCATATGATCTCCCGAGGGATTGTGGGCAATGGAGTCCCTTCTGGACTCTGCGTCAGAGGGAAGTTGCTCAGTCACATGATCTCCTAATGCATTGTGGGAAATGTAGTCTGAGTCCGCCTGAGGCGTGGCAATAATAAATCAGTGGTCAGTGTGCTCAGTATAATAAATCAGTGTCCTCAGTATAATAAATCAGTGGTCAGTGTGCTCAGTATAATAAACCAGTGGTCAGTGTCCTCAGTATAATAAATCAGTGATCAGTGTGCTCAGTATAATAATAAATCAGTGGTCAGTGTCCTCAGTATAATAATAAATCAGTGGTCAGTAGGGGAACCCTCAGGGCCTAATGATTTCTGGGAAATCAAAAATGCATACCTGTAATTTTCAGTTCATTTTTATGCAGCAGAATCATGTTTATATTTTAACTCTGCTAGTTTTACTGTACCACTCTTGTTTCATTATAAAGTTCTGAATGGAAACAAAAGGGTTCTCTTCTTCATGAAATGCCCATGGGAAAATTGGCCAATCAGGAATTGTTTTTCTCCATGGTATCTAGGTAGATATAGTTAAGTGAGCCTATTTCTGATGGTTAGGACTTCAGGAGCTGAAGAGATTAGATTAGATTAGTGTTAGATTAACTATCATAGATCACATCTCCTGTACGAGGCACTGTGAAACTGCTTTTAGGTAATAATTTATGTTCCCTCTTAAGAGGTGCATTAGTTACATTCTGGTGCCTAAAAATAATCAGCCTTTTCAGAAAGTGTTTGTGCGAATCGCTCTTAGCTCAGTGCTAACAAAATACTAGAATCCTATAGAGATGCTAGCAGAAGTTAGCATTATCATAGAGGTGTGGCCCAATAGAAGGCCTAGCTCTGTTATTCACCGTTTGCCACTGGTGCTCAGTATGACAGTAAAGGTGCTAGGAGGACGCTGTAGGCAGGAGAAACGTTCGCAGCAGCCATTCCTTTAATTCACCCAAATAAACACAAAGCAAACACAACACAACCAAAGATACGCTGGCCACTTTTCAGAGGCTTCAGCTAGCTAGACTTTTCAGTCCGTTCCGCTCTCTCGCTCTGTTCCCTCTCAGCTCTTTTAAAAAGGCGCTCACACTGCCAGCCAGATCAGCATCAGCTGGCTCTCATAGACCACTGTAGTCGTGTCGTCATTTTGTAGTTGGCTCCATGTTGTTATGCCCATATTAGGAACTCCGAGTCTAAGCTCCATTTCTCTATGGCCAGAATGAATAGGGTTTTCGAAAAATTGCCTCTGTCGCATCCAGTGGTAAATAAAAATGTTCAGATCCCGATTCGTTTTGTCCTGTGAACATTCTTCTCTCGAATAACACTGGATCCTCTGAATTACGAGGTTGTTAAAGAGTAGAAATATGAATATTGCTACATGTGAGCTAAAGCTACTGCGCACTGAATCCATTTCATTAGACTTACAGCCTCCTTAAGCAGGTTATCACCCCCTGATGAACTGATTTCGGCGCTCAGAATTTTAAAAAATTTTTAAAAATTTCTATTTTAATGCTGGTAACATTTTTTTCTGAGGACATTTTCTCAGGAAATTCGCCAGCTTTTTGTTCGACTTTTCCCGTTCCACCTTAAATGGCGCAGCAGTCGCATTCTGAAATGCTGCGCCATTTAAGGTGGAATGGGAAAAGTCGAATAAGCAGCCGGTGAAAAAGAAGCTGACTTCAGCTTCGTGGAGGGTGGAAAGACATGATATGAGGAGGTTTCTCTGTTTTCACTTAACAGAGTAACATTAAATTATTTTTGCTGTTTCACAGAACCGACAGGTCAGTATTTTGTCTTGCTTGCTAATGTTTGTGATAGCTAGTCTCAGCTGCTGCACCATTTAAGGTGGAACGGGAACATTCAAACAAGAAGCTGCGAAAAAAGAAGCTAAATTCAGCCTCGTAGTTTTAACACGGGTAGTATTTTTGATAAGGAGTTTTAGTCTATCAAAATATCCCACCCCGAGGTTTTATTTATGG